TTAGACTCAGATTTAAAAGCTAAGGTTGTTGCTTTCTTTAGGAGTGGCTTGGCACACAAGCAAATACTCTGGTAAACAAATGAAGACATTATAAAGGTCTCAATATCTTATCAAGCTAACAGCTAGCTATGGTCAAGCTAACAGAACCAAACCAACAAAATGGTCCCGTTAGCTGCAACCAAGCTATTACTAACTTGGTTACAGCTAAACTAGTCAAGCTAACAGCTATGTATCATCAAGCTATAACAGATAATTATGGTCAAGCTAACAGGACCAAGTTAACAGCTATTACTAACTTGGTTATAGCTAAAGGAGTCAAGCTAACAGCTACTTACCATCAAGCTGTAACAGCTAATTATGGTTAAGCTAACAGAACCAAACCATAACAGTCAGCTATTATTAGCTTGGTTACAGCTAGTAGCTACTTATTGCCAAGTTGACAGCTACTAGCAGTCAGATTTACAGCTAACTAGTCAACATAAAAAATTAAATGATCTTAGAAATCAAGCTAAGAGCTAACGCATACAGATGAAAAGCTACTTTAAGTCAAGCTAAAAGCTAACAGATTCTAGCTTGGCTATTTATAGGTATTCTGATAGCCACTCAGTGATAGGAAGATACAGGAGTAAGTTTATAATTCTCTTAACCTCCTAAAATAAGTTAATCTCAAAATCTGATAGTTTTTGAGATTAAATGATTAAAGCTAACAGGTAACCATGATTTTTTTTTACTTCTCGTCAGCTTTGTACAAGAAATTTTGTTATATTATCATTATTTTGTCAAATGAACAATGTCCAAATTGCTGTGTTTTTATTGGCTGCTATTTAAAACCTATTTATTTAGCATCGTTTATACTTGAAAACCTGCACACAGCTTTTATAACCAATTATGAGTGCCCTAATTAGGACTTAATTTGTATGCAATAGTTCTTTACAACTGAAAATGAGTCTGCAAGCTATCAGTGTTATTTTCTCACGTCTCATGTCATTGTTGTGTTATAATTTGCATTACCAACAGATAAACACGGCTCTATTGTTCTGGCTATGGAGAAATAGTTCATCTCCCCTTTACTGCGCAAACAAACCAATTGCAACCATTTATATCTGCCAGCTGCCTGTTGTTCCATCACTGCCTGATTACACAGTATTGCCACAATCGCTCAGTTTTATTGCACTTCCAGATCTTCAAACATTAATAGCCTCGTGATTTTCTCGTCTATCACGGTGCCAGACGTTTTACCTTGACATAAGCCACTATCTTCAGAGAAATGGTGGCCAGGTAGAGGGAGTTCATGGCAAAGTCCATTAGGTTCCACCAGTCATGGATGTACTCTGTGAATCCCCCATCCCACATCTCCTTGATCTCTGCCCAGATAAAACCTGAAACACACAAGCAGACACATCCCGACATCGCTGGCTGTTCATACATCAATGTGTTCCTCTTTCAGCAGACACAGGTCATTAAGCAGGGAGCGAGCATCTTTGTTCCCTATGACTGACTTTACATCAAGCCAAGCTTTACTCTAAATTATTCAGAAGACGTTTCCTCGCTGGAATAAACAAGAGTTTAAGGCTACGATAAGAGAAGTGACCTTGGTTAGCTTGGTTGAACCCTTAAGTCTGATATCAATCCCTCTGGTGAGTTTGGTTCTGTGACACATCGGCTCTGTGGCTTTTCAGTGACCCGAATTTTCAGACTGGCTTGACGTGCAAATCTAAATATTTCAGCAGCCGCAGTTATGCCAAACCAAGAGGTTGTACTGCAAAAACACAAAATCTTACCAAGTATTTTTGGTTTAGTTCTAGTGCAAATATCTAAGCACACTTGAAATATGACTAACTTATACGTAATTTTTCTGCTAAACATAGTTTTGTCTTAAGTAAATAAATTCTTAATATTGTTGAAAAAAGTAGTAGTTTCATTGGCAGATTATTTCACTAACAGCAAGATATTTTTCCCTTGTTATAAGTTCATTTATCTGCCAATAGAGCTAGCACTTCTCCTTGTTATCATCACTTACTGGTAAAGTATACATATTAAAAATTTAAAATGTCAGCATTTATTCAGGTGGACTTAATTTTTTTTTATTTTTTAAATCAAGGCAAATATTTGGTTAGAAAATATCCAGAGTAATTGGTCAAGTCCTATGTTTTCAACTACTGCAACATAAATACAAAAATGTCAAACTAATTTAGTTTTATTCACTGTTCGCTGCAATGATGGAAACAATCATGGGAACTTTAGCAAGAATGCATCCGTAACTTTGAATAAACTGTTCTGATTTATAAAAAACATGTGAAATTTGACAAAATCTTCTCAGGCCTAATGGTGTAAAAATGGTAGTAGTTGATTTGACGATTTTTATGCTTTCTTCAGGTACAAGCAATAAATTAAAATGCAACATTTTCATATTTTTAAAGTGGTTTTGCCATTTTTCCCCCACACAAATTATAATGTTTGCCTCCATATCAAACAAATTTTATGGCGTTTTGTGAATTCATCAAAAAAAAAAAAAACTACAGATGGAATATCAGCTTTCATTCTTTATGAATTTCTCAATAACTTGACATATTCCCCGTTTAGTCTAAGTCGGTTTCTAAAGTAGAAGGAAGTGTATGAAGTGACGCAGAGCAGCAGATGGTTTTATATTTTTCAGAATGATTACAATCAGGATTTGGAAATGATTGGTGTCAGCGCTTTGAGAGAAAGAAGACGGAGATGTAATCATTTATTTTTCACACCTGCCCACTCGCACCCACTCACCACCTCCCCCACGTGCTCCGACCACACACATCCGCACCACTTAAGCCCACAGATATCTCTGAATGATTAGCAATCAGCCACAGAAAGTAACCTGGGATGTTTCTGTTTTATGGAGAGGAGACAGTTTGGCTGTTTGTTTGGGTGTGAATCGTTCAAATTTATCTGTAAGATCTATTTTTATTACAAAGACTTTGAAACATTTATTCAAGTGTTGAACTATAGGTTTCTTTTTGTTGGATTACATTATTGTAGGATTTCACAGAAATGGGTCCGAATAACTGACCAATTCGGACCTGCGTTGGAAACTTTTGATAGCTGCTTTGACGAGATTTGTATTTGATAAGATTTGGATTTGATCACAGCTGAATATAAGAATTTAAGATTATAAGAATGTGTGGCTATGTTCTTCTACGTACAACAAAAATGATGCTGATAGTTGTTTTGGTTCGAGTATTAAAGACAAAGTTTTCAGAACCTTGTTACGTCTGACTGACTTTTGGGGTGATTTCAGACCTGATAGTCCAGTACATTTGGTTTGATTGGGAAAAAAATTGCAACACTTGCTACCTTGCCAGCTGGAATCAAATGCTTTCAGTAACCTGTTCCCTTCCTGGCCCGTGGGGGCACTGCACCAAGGATCAATGGAGGAAACAACCTGAAAAACTCTGAAGAAGACTTACATGCAACTTCCTACTTCAAAAAAATGGAAACAAAAGTAGAGCGCCATCAAATTTTAGCAGTTGTAGGATTTTTATTTTGTCTTTGGGAAAAGATAAGAGCAACTTCTCCTGCTGGTGCTACAAACAAACGTTTGTTTTGGTTGTATTCACCCAGAATGCCTTGCACTATAGTCTGTTTCTTGTTCCAGTCCGCTTGGCATTCACATAAGCATTCAAACTGCATCAGAATTCACTTAAACTGAATCAAGATCTGGGTTTTCAGACAGACCAGAGTTCACTTCTTGTGTCACACAAACACAATTCCTGACAAGTGACAGACAGAATTTTTATTAAGGAAGTTGTAGTTTAATTATTGATAACCAGACATGCAGCAGATGATCAACTGAACAATTCTGATTACACATTCACACTTCAACAAACAAACTCGACTTTCTACTGAGTTCAGTCAAAGCGGACTAAACATGGCTGCTGTGAAAAATGTCAGCCATCAAAAAGACCAACAAACTAAAGAAATGTTGACCAAGACAACCTTAAAAGCTTAGAAGGAAGTCTGAGAGTTGAGAAGTATAAAAGATAATGAGTTCGTATTTAAGAGTTTGCCCTTTTGTAGCTCGAACACATTAGAAATGAAATGCACCACGGGGACGAATCATTTGTTCTGAATTAACTCCGGTGTGACATTAATACTCTGAACTCACCCAGCACCCAGGGAAGGATCATCCACTCCACGATGGTGGGTGGGGGTCCCTGCATGTGCAGGTTGGTGCGGGCGATGTGCTGCGACGCCAGCAGCAGGAGGAAGAGGAAGGTCAGGTAGGACGCGGTGTGGCAGATGAACTTGATGAAGGGTTTCTTGATGAAGCGCCCCAGAGCGCTCTTTGGGGCCAACAGGTAGATCTGAGGAGGCGGGAAAGAAACACAAGCCGGTTGGATGGTGAAGAACATGGCAAACAAAAACAAAACAAAGAGTCCTCCCCCCCCCAAAAAAAGAACGGCCCTGCAGAGGATGGTGAGGGGAGCTCAGAAGGCTGTTGGAGTCCCAAAGTTACAATGCAAAAAGCTTGTTTTATGTCAATAATTCCTTAATACTGATGAAATTCCACTGGCGCTGTTACCTAGCAACCCCAGCCAAGCCCAGGCGGTCACCTAGCAACCAAGTTCTAGTTCCACTGGCAGATTATTTCACTTATAACAATAAAATTTCCCCCTGTAATAAGTGAAATAATCTGCCAAAAGAACTAAGGTACATTTACTCAATTACATTTACTTGAGTAACGTTTTTTGAAACTTTGACTTTTAGTTTTATTTTAACCTTTTACTTTCAGACGAGTAATTTTAATATGAGGTATTTCTTCTCTTGTAAGAGTAAAATTTCTGTCCTTTACCCACTGAATGAATATGACCAAATTTCATTTTAACTTTCTTTACACATCTAGGTCAAGTTAGAGATTCAGAAATAAAAATCTGCAATCAGTTAAGATGACAAGAAAAATATACATACAGCCTTTATAATGCTAAAACATTTTATAGTTTTATTTTTCAGATTTACTCCGTTTTCAACTTGAGTCATTAAAATGTCCAGAAATCAGCAAAAAACCTTCATAGAAAGACATTAAATTAAATTACAACATTTCACCTAATTAGATAATAGATAAATATCTCTTCATCTATTTTTTTCCATCTCATAGCAGAAAAAAAATATTTTCAAACATTTTTAGCAATTAGAAAAGTTGTTAGTGGATGAAATTGGTTGAAAAACTCAATCAGCCTTTTCAATCAGTGCTGAAATCCCATTTTGTGTCCTCTAACATTGAAGAAATTGCAAGCTTACAAGGTTTTACAAATTATGCATGTTAAGTAGTTTGTATTAAGCATAAATTAAGCAACAGGAATGAATTTGGTTTACATGTCGCTCCAGACTGGTCGTGCTGGAAACTGAAACAAAAAGCAGCTTGAGGAACCAGACGATGTTTACATGATTTGTCAAAACCCTGATGTGCAGATCAGGAAGATTACACGACTTTAAACACTTTGACTACATTAATTACTCTCATCAACATTACAGCCAGAGCCAAATTAACTCAACTGAACCAGATTGGTTTGCTCCTATGCGAGTCTGCATGTTTATTTCCGAGTGACGTAAAAAAAAAAAAAAAAAAAAAAAA